ATTTCACTTTCCCATATTTCATGCAAGGAAGGAGAAGGAGAAGATACTAAAATGTATTGAGCTTCAGATACATGTGAGTCACTGCACTGACACCGTTGTTTTATGTTTAGTGTCTCTAAACCTAATAGCCATACTGGATATTCACAGAGGAGGGAACTAAGGTTCAGAGAGGTTAAGTAACTTGTCCAAAGCGACACAGCCAGAAGTAATCCCCTGAGAATCAAAGCTGGGTTTGCCTGATCCAAAACTGGGGCTGTGAGAAAAGGCCTTCTGGTCTTACCTGTTCTACTTGTTGCCTTATAAAAGCACCACTTCTTTCCAGCTCCTGTGTTTAAGGAAGTTCTGTTACCAGTAAATTAGCAGAAAGGGTGGGCTGGAAGCAGTGTGAAGAATTGAAACCTAATGGGAGATGTTTTTGGGTCATGGAAAAACCTCCAGAGGAGATGGGTCTTCTACTCCTTCAGATGGCTCATCGGTGTCCTAGCAATCTTGAGCCGCCCAAGGGGAATAGGGTCAGGGACTGAGACCAAGCTTAAGAAGGTAATAAGAGCCTAAATGTAGGAAACCCTAAGATACTTTCATCTTCTGTGCATTTATGCTTCATTTAAGCCCCATTATGAGGTAGTCTTACCTGTTCTACTTGTTGCCTTATAAAAGCACCACTTCTTTCCAGCTCCTGTGTTTAAGGAAGTTCTGTTACCAGTAAATTAGCAGAAAGGGTGGGCTGGAAGCAGTGTGAAGAATTGAAACCTAATGGGAGATGTTTTTGGGTCATGGAAAAACCTCCAGAGGAGATGGGTCTTCTACTCCTTCAGATGGCTCATCGGTGTCCTAGCAATCTTGAGCCGCCCAAGGGGAATAGGGTCAGGGACTGAGACCAAGCTTAAGAAGGTAATAAGAGCCTAAATGTAGGAAACCCTAAGATACTTTCATCTTCTGTGCATTTATGCTTCATTTAAGCCCCATTATGAGGTGGATCTTAGTCAGGATATATGATAGACTGCTGTTTGTGAGTGTCCCAGACAGAAGATTCAGAAATGCCTGTCTACTTGGTTAGAACCAACATAATGAGACCCAAGGCATTTTGGTTTTGTACACAAAGCTTCTCTCTGGGGAATGAGAGAGCAGATCTGACCCTGTGAACCCTGGCTAAATGACTGAGGCTCAGAGAGGCATGTTGAATTACCCAAGCTCACACAGAGGAAGCTTCAAGATAAGAGCCCAGGGACTGTGATCCTGGCTTTGTAACTGCCCTGCTCAAGGGAGAATAAGCTCACTTAATTGGAGTACTAAAAACAGCTTACGTTTTCAATGGCCTGTGATTGGTTTTACAATAATCATAGAATTTTTATAACTAGAGGAGATAGTAAAAATCATCTAGTTCAATTAAATCATTTTATAGATGAGAACACTAAGGCTCAGAATAAGAAACTGACTTGCCTAAGGTCACAGCTGTTATAATGGTGGAGCCTGATCTAGGTCACAGCCCCACAGCCTGTGGCCAGTGCTCTGTCCACTAAGCCTTAATATTATGTTCCACTGACCATTAACTACAACCCCAACCCCTCCCCCAACATACTTGTAAGTCAAAGGTAATCAATCACTTCCTTACATTTAGACAGGCATACTTTTCCAACTTTACGAAGGAAATGAAAAAATGTATCCTAATTTCAAATTAATTTTGAAAGCAATTCCCTAGACATCTGGTACTTCACTGATTTGAGAGTCCCTACATTTTCCTGCCCAAGTCTCAGAAAGTCAAAGCAGAGAGTTGGCTTCCACGTTCCATGTTATTTTTCATGAAGATCCTCAAATACCAAGCAGATTCCGTGCACTCTCAGTGACAAGACTCTCCCTTGGGCCAAAATCCTGGACCCCAAACTTTCGCCCCAGGAATATGCAGGCTCCCACAGCCATCTAGTGCCTGGGCAGCCAGCAAGCCACCAAGCCTGTTTGCTGCCTGGAACAAAGGCCTGGAACCCACCTTTTTTTCAGTCTCCTTTTCCAGGAGGGGCTGTAACTTGCTGCCATTGACCAGGGCAGAGGCTGTTTCCCATCACTTCCTGCAATGAGGTATTTCATGAAGCCTGAGAGACGAAAATCTGGACTCTTCTCCCACTGGGATTAATGCCATTCTCCTCTCTGTTATCCCAGAATCCCCTTTCTTTAGGCTGACGTGCCTTCCTCCTCCACGACAGGCCCAGCAAGGATACATTAGTGTGATTGTCGAGCATTCCAGCAGAGCCCCTCGGGCACTGTGGCTGGAACTGATTTGTGCAGGGAACTGGGCCAGCTTCCCTTTTAATCACTCACATACTCCCAGACACAGGGGATCCTGCCCTGCTCACCCAGGGATAGAAGGAACCTCCCTCACTTTCACAGGGTCTCCCTAAGTGGAGGGTTAAACAGACATTCTAGTCTCCAGGAAAGATGAGTAAAGAGTCTCTTTTGAAACTTAATTATGAAATCAATATCTCCTGGAGCCTATCCCCCTTCCCTGGAGCTTCTGCAGAGCAGACCCTGCTCAGATGATATTCAAGCATCCACTTGCCCACAGCACTTCCCAAGCACCACTCTGACTGAGGAGGAGGCTGCGTCAGAGCTGGGCCTGGAAAAGTGGGTAGAATTTGCTCAGGACATGCAGGCGGGGAGGTGGTGTAAACCAAGGCCTGAGAGAATGAATGACCTGGGGATGGCATGAGGAAGGGAGAGAGTAAGGAGACAGCGGGAGGGGGACAGAGGTGCTTGTTGGGAAGGAGGGAGTGGTGGCTAGCCAGGGTCCAACAGGATAAAAAGGGCATGCCCAAAATGGGATAATTTGGGGAGGGTTTATTTGTAAAGGCGTGGGCAGTGGGGCACCAGAAAGAATGGTGCTGAAAACCTGGCCCAGTAAGAGTCAAGGCTTAAGAAGTATGTATCACTTTAGGCATGGAGACAACAACCAGAGAGAATCCTGCAGAGGAGCTGCCTTAGAAGGAACAGAGGCCTCTCGGTCCAGGACACAGCCAGTTTGAGGCAAGGCTGCAGGGAGAGATCCAGGCAGAGGTGGATTCACAGTGAAGTGGGCGAAGTTTAAGCCTCAGGGCCCCAAGTTAGCACAGGCCCCTCCCCAGGCCTAAGGAGGAGCCCCAGCAGTGTATTCATATGCTGCATGTTTTTGGAAAAGTTCTTGGCAAATTTTGCAAAAGTAACATATTTTTTATCCCAGTTGCCCTCTACCATGTGCGTAATATGTGGGGTGGCTTTGCAGTCGTTGTGGATATTTTTAGGATCTGGTTAAGGGGTTTGGTGGTATATATTTAAGTTGCTTACAGTCACTTCTGTATACATTTAATTCATTACTAGCTGTCCTCATGTAGGAATGACTTTCTTGTAGGAATGTCTTCCTGCAGGAATACTCTTACCTCAAACTCATATGACTTGAAGGTACACAGAGATCGCATTGTAATATGAATGTGTCCTTTGGTGCCCAGCATAGATGTATATGAGTAGAGAGAACAGAGGTTGGTAATGTGAGGAACCAGAGCTGATCTATGGTTCATCACCAGACTTATAAAATCTTACCTGGAGAATCCAATTCTCATTATCAGAAATACCTGGAACACATGCAACTAGAAACATACTGTACTATTTTCTTTTTAAACGGAATTTCACATGTTAGTTTTTACATTCCTGTGTTTGTGGCCTATAAGCATAAAAAAATTTCAGACCATACCAAAAGTAGTAATTTTAATACTAAGAGGAAGAAAGAAATGCCAATAGAAGTAAAGGACCTTGGATTATCTGATAATCTTATTGATGAAGAAGAGTAAAGCATACGAGCTCATTGGGAAATGATTTGCTCTTCTTGCTGCTTTGATACAAAATCCTAACATTTATGAAAATGTCTTAGATTAGGTTCCGTAGAAATCTCCTATGAAATGGAAAGTTGCATGCAGAAGGCTCTTGAGATATATTTGTAAGGAAACAAGGAAGGAGGACTGGGAGAAGACAACCAGCATGTGGCCTCAGTACATAGGATATTCTCAGCAGCTGAAGGATGGTTGCACTGCCCTGTATCTGGGGATCTGGGCAAATCCTCATGGTACCCTTTACAGAAGATAACATACAACTCATGTTATGCCACTATAAAGGGGACCTCAAAGACGAACCGGTTTATAAGTGTTAGCAATTTAGAGTATTTAAGATTAGTTCCTGACAAGAAAATTTGAAATGTCCTAAATCTTAGTGACATATGGAAGAAAAGGTCAGAAGTCTTCCTAAATTGGACCACAATCTCAAAATCTTATATGATATTACAGTGAGTTGTGAAGCTGATTGTTCTATATTATCCATGATTAAAAACAAAAAGTTCCAGTCAAGCCTTCTAGAAGAAGGACTGGATTACATTTCCATTCTTTCTCTAGAAAATTATATTACAAAGTTGTCTTATGAAGAGGCAGAGCAAAAAATACATGAAAAGGAAAGAGGAAGATGCTGCTAAAAAAAATAGGGAAAAAGTATTATAGAATTTTCCAAGCAGCTAATTAAAAAAATACTGTAATTTCTCTGCATTTAGTGCTACCATGAGAATTTGTAAGCTTTTTAAAATTTGAGTTCTTTCCTCATTCTAAATAGATATTTCCTAATATTTTATTCATAATTGTGGACCAATAAAATTGCAAGCTTCAGTCTCATAAACCCAGAACCACACTTAGACCCAGAAGAATAAACACCCTGACCCCACACTCCTCTTTTCCTTAGGTAACGTTCTGGAGCTACAGACTCAGTGGAAGCCAGAGGCTGGTGCAGGTTAGCCTCTGGGGCAGGAAAGGAGATGGAGAAGGGTTGCCCAAGATATCAACCGCAGCTAAAGTAATGTGGAACCAGGTGTGGAGGCCTTGAATGCCAAATCGCCTTGCATCTTATATACAGAAAAGTGAAATTTGAGTGACGTGAAAACAAAAACACATATGGTGGGAGACTTTACTCAGGGGTTGTAAAACATGCCTGTCACTCACCACTCACCAGCAGCCCATCTGAGGCAAAGTCCTGCACAGATGTACAAGCAGGAAGATGTGTCTGCTCTTCTCCTCTTTTGTGGCCTGTGGAAGGTCTGTGTTCCCATAAGCTGTAGAGGAGAAGCTAGTGAGAACAACATGAAGGAGGGGGGCCGAGAGCCATCACCATGGACATGACCTCTAGTCAGAGGCTGCAGTTATTTCATTATTTTAGCAGCCCTTTTATCCTGCATGCCCAATTTATATCTTCCCTATGCTGTAGCTAAGGCCTCCTCTCCTTGTTGCTGCCTCACCTGTCTGGCTCCCAGGTGCAGCTCTGCATGGCTGGTGCCAACTGCACATGCAGTATCACACGGGCCTCCCACCCTTGGACGGTAGGAACCCAAGTTTGAGGTGGAGATGCCCAAACTGAATTCTGCTATTGTCTCCTCTGAGACACTCTTGCACACCTGAAATCCTGGCATTTTTTCCCCCATGAAATCCTTTCCCTAGATCTTTTTCTGCTCTGCTGGGATCCCAAGAAATCCCAGAATTACCCTCTCCTTTTCTTGTCCCACACCAACTGCTCTCCTTGACTGATCTCTCCAGAACTCCTGCATCTGCTCTCTCCAGCCAGCTGGCCTTCTCAAGTTCCTCTTATTCAGCTTCCTCTTTTATCCAGCGCACCTCTGCTTTATCCAACACATCCCAAATACTTCAGAAGCAATACACTCAAAACCAAACTCACTAAATCCTGATGACTCTCCCTTCGTAATCCTCCTCACATCCGTTCTCCCGTCTTCTTTCTCTCTTTCACTCTCTTTAGAAGCCTCCTATTACTTCTGGTTCAGATCACTGTAAACACCTGTCTTCGTCTGCCAGCACTCTGTGCCATGGTGAGATTCCTAGGACTGGTTGTGTCACTCCTCTCCTCAAAACCTGTCGCTCTCTCTCACATCACAAATTGAATCCAAATCTCTCAGCCTGGCAGTCTATTTTACAGGCAAGCATGCATGTGATATTGCAGTTATTTGTAAATATATAGTCATGTATTTATTGTTTGCCCCAGACAACCTCTCCTGCTCCTCCCACTAGACAGTGAAATTCATTGGCATTCAGTAAGTGTTCACTAAACAAGTAAACAGTTCTGCCTTGGTTTCCCTTTTAGCTTCATCACTCCCTGCCCCTCCCTCCAGCTCTCATGCCCTCAGGCTAGCCCAACTCAAAAGCTCACTGTTCTCCCTCCTCTTCTCCCAATTCTGTCCTCATCTGCACTCTGACATATAAATCCCCCAATGGGGGACTTCCTTTGCCAGCCTCTGGCTGCTCCTTCCCAACATACAGGGCACCAGTACACACACACACACACACACACACACACACACACGGTCCTTCTCCATGAAGCCTTTCTTGCGTCTTTCTCTTCCTGGCTTCTCTCCCCAGGAACTAATCTCCTTTCAGAACTCCCTCAGCATTTGTTTATATGCCTCCTATGGCTTGGATCATGTTTTGCTGACCTATTTCACTTACTGGTTTATAAGTCTTATCTCCTCTACAAGATAGAGAATGCCTCCAGGACTGAACTGTGTATGATTCATTTTTTTCTCTTCAGCAGCAACTGGCCTATGGTGGACACTTATGAATGGATTAATGGACGCATCTGCCCTTCCAAGCATAAAGGCCATTTTTCTTGCTATGGCCTAAACACCTATTTTAATCACACATATACAATTCATGATTAGATTCTTATTGTCAAAAACTCGAACAATACAGATAAAACTAAAATTCCCTTTGCTTGTCCCCAATACTAGCCCCCACCCCATTTATATACCTATACAATGAAGGTATAATATAATTTTGTGGGATTTTTTTTTTTACAGAAGTGATAGACTATATAAATTGTTCTGCAGCTTACTTCTTTCACAATGTGTCAAAAATATCTTTTCATATTTCTATACATTAGATATACGGTAACTCCCTCTTTCAAACAGCTGCAACATTTCCTGGTTTGGGTGTGCCACAGCTTATTTAATCATTCCCTGATTGGTGCACACTTACATTATTTTCAGCTCTTTGCTATGTACGTGCCTCTTTGCACACATGTGTCTTAGAATAAAGATGAGAAGTAGAATTTTGAGTCAAAAGAAATGCATTTTAAAAATTATATTCAATTCAAGCCAAAAAATTGTATTAAATATCTTGAAATTGACTTCCAAAGAGACTGTATTTATATTCCCCTGAACACTTGCCATAGCTTGATGTTAAAAATCTTTAACATTTTGGCCAATCTAATGACAGAAAAATGGCATTGTGTTATTAATGGCATTGTGCATGTCCTCATTTACTGTAAGTCAAGTGGAGCACCATTTTACGGGTTTACTGCCCTTTTGGCTTTCCTCTCGCATGAAACCTACATGACCTCTGCCCATTCCTGCACTGGTGGTTTATCTTTTTCTTACTGATTTGTACTATACCTTTGCAAACTCTGGATATTAATTTTTTGTCTATTACGAATAACAAATATATTCTAAATATTTTCTCTGAATTTATTGCCTGTCTTTTAATTTTCTTGAGGGTGCCCAGTTTGTTACAGATATTTTCTCTTTGATCCAACTTTGAATCTTTCAAATATGTATCTAATTGTCCAGGAACTTTGTATGAAATACCCACCATTCCCTGATGATGTGAAATGGCACTTTTACAGAAAGCACAATTTCTATTTACATGGATCTGCTCCTGGACTTTTAAGTTTTCTTTATCACTTTGTTTAAGGTATGTTTCTTATGAACAATATTTGAGATAGATTTTTGGTTTTTTTTTTTCAGCCCTGTCTATATAATCTGTCTTTTAAAGAGAGAATTCAGTTCATTCACACTTAGTTTAACAACTTGATTTGATTACTTGATTTGATTCTTTAAAACAAATTCCTTGAATCAGATCAACTTAAATACTTGATTGGATTCCTTGTGGCTTACCTTACACTTATGACTTTTTTTCTCTTTCTTTTTCCTCAATATGGCTAGCTTGCTCAGATTGCCATTCCATTTGACCCTTGTTAATGTGGGAGTTCCTCTGTACTCTTTCTAGCCCATAATGGTTATCTCCCTTTTCCTTTTCTGGTGCTCATATTCAAACTCTATTTCTTTGCTATTATAAGAAAACAGAGTATCCCACTTACATACTCTATTTCTTTATTTCTCCCATTTAGGTGCTTCTTCCTTCCACCAATGGAATATTTAGAATACTTTTACTTTCCCCATTTTTTTCTCCTTACCCCAAGGGCCTTTGGGATGCTTTTACTCTGCATGCCTGCCTCCAAATCCTAGATTTTGCTGAAATTGCATAGTACTTTTCTTTCTAGATCTTATTAGAATTTTCTTTGTAGTATTTCACCTTTATTTTAAGAATCCTTATTCAGCATTATACATTTCCAGACCGTCTCTCTTATCCATTTATATTAAACCATATATATGTGGACATATCTCTGCACACATATATCCACATATGTGTATATAGACAAGCATGTATATATAATACATGTGTGTATATGTATATATAGTGAAACATGGGTTATTGCTCACCCCTGTTTCCTCTATTCTCTATTACAATTCATTTGATTTTAGTTGGAGTCTTAAAAACTATTTTCTTCACAGTCCTAAAACTTTTGAATCCTCACGTATTTGTAAAAACATGTATATATATTTTTGATCCATTTTTCTTCTGGGCAAATGACCGCTTGGTTAGGTACAGGACTACTGACTGCCCCTCCTGACCCCAGGAATCTATACATGTTATTCCAATGTCTTATTTTGTCTTCTGGAATCAATTAGTCCCATGATCTAGTCTCCTAGATCTCTAAATCTCATATTTTCCTTTCTGAGTTCAATTTATTTGTATTTTCCTCCATGGTTTGTGATATTTCTGACACTTCATCTTACAAGCCACTAATTTTGAGTCTCATCTCTACCATTTCCTTTTAATCATCCACTTCATTTTTTTTGGTTAAAAAAGCACGCTTTTCAGTTTCAGGATATTTTCACTGGGTTCTTTCTGTTGTTGTTTTGTTGAAGTTGTCACCTGTCTCTGCTGGTGGCTCTGAAGAAGCGTGTTCTGGATGTTTGGTACAGTCCTCTCCCTGTAGCTACTGGCCTCTTGGGTATGTTGTTTCCTTTCTTTGTCTGGTCCCAGTGGTTCAGTGGCTAGAAAAGTGATGGCTGTGGAGGCCTGTGTAAGAGCTGGCAGGCTGGCAGGCGACCTCCTGTTGAGGCAGCAGGAGGAACTCCTAGGTCCACAGTCCCAAAGATGTAGCACCCTCAGTTCACCTGTTCCGTCTGCTTTAGCTTTTCTGGGCTGGGGAGACTTGAGCATGGCCAGAGTGACACATGGCCAGAGTCAGGCTTCCTTCACAATCTCACTGCAGGATCTCTTAGGGACAGAAAGCCCTGCCTCAACTATCCACTCTGTTTCCTCCAGGCCCTTCCTTGACTGCCTGTCAGCCTCAACAGCTGCTTGGCTCAAAAGAGGTAGATGGGTACAAGCTGGAGTTGTATGTGGAGGGAAAGAGGCACATTATGCTGCTGCCATCCCAGAATCCATTTTTTAACTCTTCAGTTTTTCAGACATCTTAGTGTATTCCTATACCACTACCACAGAGTTTTAACGACTAGAGCATTGAAGTAAAATTTGCTGTGTGGTAAGGCATGTCTCCCCTCTTTGGTTCTTGTTTCTAAGTTTACCTTGGCTCTTCCTGTGCATTTCCTCTTTTGGATGAATATTCAAATTAGCCTGTTGTTTCTTAAACTACCATTCTATTTTCTGCCTCTTTGAGTTTGACTTTTATAGGTGCCTCTTGTAAGTAGAATTGTACACTATGGGTGCTTCTTCTAAGTAGAATAGTACAATATTTGTCTTTTAGTGACTGTCTTATTTCACTTAGCATGATGTCCTCAAGATTCATCCATGTTGTGGTATGTGTCAGGAATTCCTTCCTTTCTAAGGCTAAATAACATTCCATTGTATGTATAGATATACCACAATTTGTTTGTACATTGATATGTCACATGCCTTCCACCTTTTGGCTATTATGAATCATGCCATCCCCCAGTTTTAATAATGATCAACTCAGGCAATCTTATTTAATCTATAATCCCCCTATTTCCCCTTTCCATATGGGGTATTTTATATGCTATATTTTCTATTTTGTTGAAGATCATTCCCAGGGAGAATCTGAGCCTGGGAACCAATATTATTTCACCCAAATAGCTTAACATAAAGATGGAGCACAGATGAAATAGGAAAGCTGTTACAGAAATAGTGGGTGAGGAAGAAGAGGCCAACGCTTATATCACATGTACATGAGCTTCTGCTCTGCTGTACTGTCCCCTCCTTCTTCCTCAGACCTCTGGTCCTAAGGTTCCTGAAGTGGAGAGGACTCCAAAGCTCACAGACCACTGCAATTGCCCCACTGGTCTGGGTGCCTTGGAGAAGACTCTGCCTCTTGTTCGCTTCCCTCCAGCTAGAGCATTTTGCTCTGGCAATGCTAGGGCTCAAGTCAAACTATGCCTTGAACTCACTGACACTACCTTGGGAGCCAAGGTCTATTCCTGGAGAAGAGATTAGTGGAAATTCCTCAGTAAGAAATTGGCTGCCTGTGAATGCCAGGAGGCGTCACTAGATAACCTACCAAGAAACAAGGGTTCTAATGTTCACATCACTTTCAAATTATACTGAGCCCCAGAGTATGACACAATTTAAGTAAACTAACTTGGCCCTGTTGAACCATTCTCCAGAGCACACAGGCTTTCTGCTGAGACTCACCTTGGAGGCGCATGGTCTCTTTTCCCTTGTTACT